TTACAGAAAAACTGCAAGAGACAGAAATTGTTTATTTTCTTCTCAGCTTAGAGCTCTAAGAATTTCCTTAGAATTTTTTAGTACTTAGTATTTTCTTATTTTTCCAATATGAGAAAATATGATATTAAAAAATTCTGAACAAATTCTGAAAAAATTCTTAGAGTTTTATGAGAAGAAAATGATCAATTTTTGTCTCTCGCTGTTTTTCTGTAATAGTTTCTGTTGATAGTATTTGAATAAAAAATAATTGAAAATTCATTATTTCAGCGATTTTTAGTAATTAATATCTCATTAACCATTGCGAAAATTGTAAAATGGTACAGGACTTTTTGATTCAGTTTAGTCCACCCTATTTGTCCATGAAATATTTGGCGATTGTTTTGGAATACCTTGTATATGGAACGAGTAAACAGTCCTGGCCTGATGAAATATCTCAAAAACTAAGCGCATTTCCAAAAAAAATGATTTCTATAAAAGTTGTAGGGTTTTAAATAATTTATTCACTGGCTGACTTTGGGTGGTGTCGCCAAAGTCAAATCGAGGTTACACCGATTTTTTTTAATGACACCTTATTTTTTATTCCAGAATCTAATGTCAAGCTGGTGTCAAGAGCTTTTCAAAATACTACAATAAAGTTATTTTTCATAAAGTACTTTTCGAGTTATAAAGCTTGAAAGTTATAGTAACTGGCATTAGCGTTACGCATGGTGTCCGACCGACAGCTGAAACCTCTTGAATGTTGTTCAGGATCATCCTGGATAACATTTGTTAAAATCAGTCATTAGAAATTATTTCTTTTATTTTTATTTTTACATAAAAATAAATTATCAGTACAAAAATGAAAATCAGAGAAACAATTTGCAATAATCTTGATCTTAACAAATGTTATCCAGAATAATTCTGAACAAGAGATTTCAGCTGCCGGATACCATATATAATGCTAATACGTATATTTATTAGTCGATAAAAATAATAAATAATGAAGAAGCAAGCGACAAGATCTATGATTTAGTTTTATCGTGAAAAATATACAAATTATCGCAGGAATGAAACATTCATATTGCATTATTTGCAATTTTTGTTGTTCAACTTAATAAGTTTCGTGTTAAATCCTGCCGCTAAGTGCGCAAAACAAAAGCCGTAGTAATAATTGGGAGTATCATTATTATAAGTAGCAAGGATACACATAGACCTGCTGTTTTTCCCCGTGAAATACATAAACACATCACGGATTATGGAATCTATATAAAAGCGAAGAATGTTTGTGCTGATCCTACTAGTGTACGTTTGAGCATCAAAGCGAATCATGATGATCAAGCTGTTCCTCATTACGTTGCTTTGCGTTGTGGTGGTAAGAAGTCGATAATAGCTCATTTATAGTCTTAGAATGAAGCTATATAAATTACACATTATTAATATTATTAATGTATTAACATGGGTGTTATAAATTAAATATACGAACTCGCGTTTTAAAACAAAGATTAAAGTCTCAATTAAAATCGATATGAAAGGAGGATGTTAAAAAGAATCCGAGTTCTGCCTAAAAAGGTGTAAGGAACAGTATTTTTTGTAAATTTTGATCTCCTGAATATGATGAGATTATATTATTAAAAAGTTCGTTTGAAGAACGTTTCGAAAATTGAGTGCGGACATGGATATTTATCGAAATTTCAATATTCTTACTTAATTTTCGAGGTGGTCCCTAAATGTCATTAACATTTTAATAATTTGAGCATATCTAGGATGGGGTGGTGTTAAAATTTACAAAAAAAAACATTATTTCCTTTATTTATATTTTTTTAGACAAAAATTGGCTAGAGATCGAAGAATTTAATATCTTTCATTTTTTAGAAGATATTAACAAAGGATCAATTTTTGGTCTTATATATATAATAAAGTTATTAAAAATTTCATGATATTTGGAAAACACTCATGATATTTGGAAACAACTCGAAAATTAAGCAAGAATATTAAAATTTGAATAAATACATCATATTTATGCGTAATTATCGAAGCTCCTTAAACGTTACAAATTTTTTAATAATTTTGTCATATCCAGGAGGGTAAAATCTTCGAAATCTGCAAAAAACAATGTTCTTTTTCATTTAAATCCTTTTAGGTAGAAACCGGTCCTTTTTAAAAACATCCTCCTTTTCCATTAGGGACCGTTCATATATTACATAAGCAAATTTTTGGCCATTTTTAATCCTCTATCTCCTCTATGTAAGCAAGCGTAAAAATTTTTGAGACCCCTTCCCTCCCCCCTATAATTACGTAAGATTTTTCCACGCCACACAAAAAAAGGCTAATTTGCTGATATCATTGACAGCAATTAGTTTTGACATGATATTTTTTATCATGTCAAAACTAATTGCAATGCAATAATATGATTTTTTTTAACATCATTAAAAGAATCATACATTTATTGCATTGAAAAAATTGTGCCAAAAGGAATTATTATTAATAATATCAGCAAATTAAATATATTTTTAATCTAAAATATATTGTAAGAAAATAAATATATAAATACAATATGTTGGCAAAATTAATATATTTTATTTTATATTATCGAATAATTTTTTTTCTCAAAGATATGCTAAATTGCACTTTTTGCACGTTAAATTTATTAGATTAAAACAACCTTTCTAGCAAACATCAAGATACATGTAACGTACATATTAGTAGTAACTTCCTACTCAATAATATAACTGTAATATAACACGTGTGTTATATTACAGTTAACTTCAACAATTATATTGTTGAGTGAGAAATTACAACTAACATGTATGTTAGTTGACAACTATTATAATAATGTCAGATCATTATAATAATGTCATAGATCAATAAACGCTTAAAAAATTTTTATTATATATTTTTTCTAATATAATGAGAAAAATAAAGAGAAGGAAAATACATATAGGGATTAATTGTTGTTATTGAAAGCAGAAGAAAAATAGAAATAACATATTTTTTTAAATGATTTTTCGATGACTTTTGCAAATAATTTTTGGAAAGCATATTTTTCGAAGCATTCGATTAATTTTGTGAAATAATACCGATCATTTACAGTTGCATAATTTTAGCGTTATTAATATTTCGTTATTAATATCGGTTAATATGATCATATTTATAATAAAACATTTAATTGCCTTTTCAGATCGCTAATTCCCAAGAAGACCAAATGAATGAAGTGAGTACGACTGAATGTTTTGTAATTTCTCGGAATTATATCAGAAAAATTTGACAAGTTTTTCAATTTACATTTTCAATATGAATATCAATAATTTTTTCGTACTCTTGTCAGATAGTTTTTGAGATAATTTTTATTTAAAGATGGGTACAGGACTAAGAAAAGTAAGCGCTGATATGGCTGAACATACTAAAATAACGGGTCAAAATAGTCCTTTATTAATGCAAGATATGGCACAAGCGAGGAACTCACAGAGGAGACCGAGAACGACAAGACGGCGTCAAATACATATATCAGGGAGACAAAATCAGGGATAGAAAGAGGAAGATGAAAAATAAGCTCTGGTAAACATTTTTCGAATTAAGAATTGTGATTCTTTGATGGATTTATTAATAATATTTAATTTAATTCGATAAATAACATTTTCATTTTGTTGATAGTGCTTAATATTACTTGTGTAAAACGCTAACGCGATTTATTCCATGTAAAATAAATAAAAGAAAAAAGTATCTACTATTTTTAGTTTTAATTAAAACTTTTACGATTTAAAATTAATAAACTTAGAAAACCGATTGGCAACGATTTCACGATGTCTCATAGAAACAGTCACTTGGTCTCATATTTTCGAATTGCTATTTATCTTAAAAGGCCACAAAAAAGATGTCGAAATATATAATAATTTGTATAAATTATATCTAATTTTTATATCTTACATTATAATATATTTATATTTATTTACTCTAATTTTAATCGTAAATTGACTCTTATAAGCCCTTTAATTTTTTCATTGTTTTAAATTTAATAACATATAGAAATATAAGGATAAGAATAATAAGAATTTAAAGAGTTAAATCGACTTTAGACGATTTATAAGTCATAAATAGAATTATTATTTAGATTAGAAATCTAACAAAGCAGACAAAATAATTAGTAATCTTTATCAAATTCATACAAGCACATTTTCTATTTTTCGTTACTTTTATTGGAATATGTAAATTATTAAACTGGCTCATGCGCTTCCCTTTATTCTTTAAAAAAGTATATAGTATAATATAATTATATACAGATATTATCTAATTCTCGATAATTGTAATATTAAAAATGTGTGTCTCACAAGGATTAATTTTTAATATTTATTTCGCAGGTCTCTTCTGGTACATATATCATTATAAAATACAGATAAAAGTATGATTAGATCAGATGAAGATTAATTTTCTCTCAGCACTATAGATATGGCGTATTTTAAATTATTCACACAGCTAAAAAAAACCCTTGAAAAATTTTAAATAATAAAGCTTGTCACTGCAATAAATTTTTCATTATTGTTTAAACTGTTTCTCCGTTTGTATTTATATTTGCTTATTTCCGTCATACTTATTTTCTAAATAAAAACGATTATTTTTTATTTTTTATGTAAGCTATTTTCGTTATTTATATCCTTTGTTTTTTTGTTATTGTATCAGAAATAAATTTTAAATATCATTATTTTATCATTATTTGCATAAATAAAGGAGAAGTATTTTTATACATGTTCGGAAAAATGATATCAATATTTTCACAATTGGAAATAAAAAAATGTTTCAAATATATTAAATATGTAATAATTTCTCTTACTTAACAATTAAAATATTATTTACTCATGATTTTATAAACCGAGAAAATAGAACAATTGTTTCGTCAAGACGCCTCTCTCGCAAAAATGTTATTTCTGAAAATGAATGTTATAAATATATCTTTTAATTGTAACAGCACATATATTTGAATATAGCATTAATAAACGGGCACTTATGAAAAACGAATTTTTATTTTCAACAAAAACCTGTTGACATTTGATGGGTTTTAGCCACCAAAGCCAAATTTTTATTGCATCACAATCAGTATCAAGGTGACAACTAAACAGCTATATCTCGCGGCGCTCGACAGAGGAAGATTGCAAGTTTTTTACCCGTTCATTTTAACACTGCGATTACAAAAATAAAGGTTAACTAAAATTTTCATCCGGGTCCAAATGACTCTTCACGTAGTTGAAGATCAAATGTAACTATTTTTTTAATGCTGCGAAAAACATATTGAGAATGATCAAATAAGGAAATCAAAACGTTTATGTATTTATATGAAGATTTAATAGATAACTTGTATAAAGAGCAAGCTCTTGTTTAGCTTTTTATGTTCCTGTTTTTAATTTTAACTATCGTCATTTATACTGCTTATATCATACTTATCACTATAGTCAAACTAAAATTGCAAGACCTTGGATCTTGTGTCACAAAACAATATTTACGGCAGACACTCATTAAAAGTAAGATATCATCAAAGCCAGAATAAAATAGCAAAAATCATAATACGTTTGATCATAATTCATTTAAAGAAATGGAAAAATTTTCAACTTTATGAAAATCATCTTTAGATATGATTTTCTAAAGATTTGTTGAAATCATTAAAATAATTAAACACGCAATATATAATACACGAACATTTTCGAAGAATATTATCAAGCTGTACATACGCGCGCGCGCGTATGTATAAATATAAACATATACATATATATGCGCGCGAGAGAGAGAGAGAGAGAGAGAGAGAGAGTGTGCGTGTGTGTGTGCGTGTGCGCGCGCGCGCGCGCGCGTGTGTGTGTGTGTGTGTATTTGCACATAGGTACGTACTAGTCGGTAAAAATAATAAACAATAAAGAAGCAAGCGACAAGATCTACGATTTAGTTTTATCGTGAAAAATATGCAAATTATCGCAGAAGCGAAACATTATAATTACATTATTGTTCAACTTAATAAGTTTCGCGTCAAATCCTGTCGCTAATTGCGTAAACAAAAGTCATAGTAATAATTGGAAGTGTCATTATTATTATAAGTAGTAAGAAGTCACGTGGATCTGCTGTTTTTTTCCGTGAATGGACACATAAACACGTCATGGATTATGGGATTTATATAAAAGCAAAGAACGTTTCCGCTGATCCAACTAGTGTATGTTTGAGCCTCAAAGCGAATCACGATGATTAAGCTGTTCCTTATTACGTTGCTTTGCGTGGCGATGGTAAGAAGTTAATAATAGCTCATATATAGTCTTAAAATAAAGCAATGTAAATTACATATATTATTAATGTATTAATATGGATATTAGAAATTAAATATACGAACTCGCGTTTTAAAATAAAGGTTAAAGTCTCTCTAAATTAAGATCGATATGAAAAAAGAATGTTAAAAAAAATCCGATTTTTGCCTAAAAAGATGTAAGTAAGGAACAATATTTTTTGAAAATTTTAATCTTCTGAATACAATAGGATTATATTATTAAAAAGTTCGTAGTGTTTGAGGAACACTTTGAAAATTGAATACGGACATGGTATTTATCTAAATTTCATATTTATCTAAATTTCAGTATTCTTACTTAATTTTTGAGATATTCCCTAATAAATATCATAACTTTTTAATAATTTTGGCATATCTAGAAAGTGTTAAAATTTATAAAATAACTTTTTCCTTTATTTATATCTTTTTAGGCATTGACCAGAAATTGGAGGATTTAATATCCCTTGTTATTCAGAGAATGTTAAAAAAGAGCCAATTTTTGATCTTAGATTATAATAATAAAGTTATTAAAAATTTCGTGACACTTGAGGAACTCCTCGAAAATTAAACAATTGAAATTTGAATAAATAGTATATTTATTCAATTTTCGAAGTGTTTTCTAAACGCTGTAAACTATATAATAATTTCATCGTAGGTTCAGGAGATCAAAATCTACAAAAAAATTCATTCTTTTTATTTACATTTTTTTAGGAAATCGGCTTTTTTTAGAAACTTCCTTCTTTCTAATTGCATATAAAATAGATCATGTATCAATAAATACTTAAAAAGTTTTTATCATTTATCTTTTCTAATATAATGAAAAAAATGAATAGAAGGAAAACACATAGAGATAAATTATTACATAGTACGTCAAAAACCGATTTTTTTTCCACCTATGAAAAAATCAAAGAGATTCTGAAAGTAGATGTAAAAAAAGATATCCGTATCTCAGCGTTTTACGAGATCAAATCGTTAACGTTTTTATGCAGCCATTTATCGTATTTACTTCATATTGGCTATTTACAATTTTAAATTACACAATAATTTTTTAAAATAAATAATTTACGTTTTTGCATGTGAATATTTTGTACTCGGACTTATCACATAATTTCACATGCAAAAACGTCAATTATTTATTTTAATAAATCATTATATAATTTAAAAGAATCTCTTTGATTTTTTCATGGAAGGGAATGTGTGTTGTACTGTGTTATCAAAAGCAGAAGACAAATATAAATAACATATTTTTGTAATCATGTTTTTGTAAATAATTTTTGGAAAACACATGTTTTTGAAACATTCGATTTATTTCGCGACATAATACCAATTATTTAGAGTTTCATAATTATAGCATTACTAATATTTCGTTATTAATATTGCCTAATATGATCGCATTTATAACAAAACATTCAACTGCCTTTTCAGTTCGCCGATTCCCAAGAAGACCAAATGAATGACGTGAGTATGACTGAATGTTTTATAATTTCTCACGGAATTATGTCAGACAAATTTTACAGGTTTTTCAATTTACATTTTGCACATGAATATGAAAAATTTTTTCGTCCTCTCGTCAGATGGTTTTTACGAAGAGATAATTTTTATTTAAAGATGGGAACAGGACTAAGGAAAGTAAGGGCTGATATGGCTGAACATGCTATGGGTCAAGGTAGTTCTTTATTAATGCAACGTGTAGCACAAAATGGACCACAGGGAGGACGACCACCACAGGGAGGACCACCACAGGGTGGACCACCACCAGGAAGAGGATCGGGAAATGGACAACAGGGAGGATTAATACAGG